CCCCCTTTCATCACTGAAAAAAAAAAATAAAAGGGAAGGGAATGATAGAAGGAAGAAACCCAAGAAAAACAAATACCCTCAGTTTTTGAAAAGAAACATTTATTTTTATTTCAGCTCATTGGTTTGATTTAATCAAAAAGTTGAAAAATTTTCAACTTTTGAAGTAAGACTCTTGCTTCCCTTAGTTCATTTCCACAAGAGATTTTTCTGTTTGCATTCTGCTCATCAGTAAAAACTTCTTAATCAGCAGGAGTCCAATTTAGGCCAAGACCTGGAAAAACCTTGCTCCTTCACTTCTTTGCAGTTTGCCAGTGAAGGAAAACTGAATGCTGGTCTGAGCCGTGCATTAGCAACCAGCTTGCTTTACCCCGTCGCTCATGAGCCGGGCCTGCGTTTGGGTCTTTGTCACATGAGACAACTAAGAGTAGTTCAGGGATACGATGCCAGTTAAGACTGCTGACGGGAGAACGGAGCAGCGAGCCGTGTGGCAAACCTCTGCTCTCCCAGCCCTGCCAGGCGTTCAGTACCTCTAACCAGGAAACTCAGTCTGTAGGGCAGCAGCTCCTGTGCTCGGTCAGTGAAGTCACGGTGAATGTCTGCAGAACCACTGTGAGCCTTTCAGTAGCTTTTAAGGGTCCACGGGGGGCACCTGGGTGGCTGGCAGCGATTGGGTGATGTCAGCACTTGGGGTGGCTGGTTTAGAGGGACGTTTGCTAACCTAGTCAAGGCTCTACCATCCCGTGGATAGTTTCTGTTGGCTTGAACTTTCAGGGTCATGCCTCACCTTAGCACTTGATAACTGGCTCTTGACAGCTTAGAAATAACCTTTCTAGTAACCTAGGAAAAAACCTGGCTTTTAAACTAAACTTCAACCAGTTGCAAGGAGCTTGTGAAATGTAGATATTTGCTTATACTCAAACAAACAGCATGTTGATACAGATGAGGGATAGTAACTTGCTTTCATGAGGTTTATTTTTTCATTGCTTTGAAGCTATTTTAAAAAAAAGAATGCATTGGAGGAAATATATTACAGTTAGTTACCCTGCATTTGATTTTATTTCAGCTTGCTTTTGGAAGTACTGCATTGAGCGCAAGTAGTGTTTAACCTTCAAGTTGATGGGTTGTGCTGAAAACTAAGATACTGAAGCCGAGAAAGAAATCTTCAAATCTTGAAGAGTTTTCTACACAAGTGGTTGAAGAGTAATTAATAAAGTAGCTGTCTGACCATATTTGCCTTGCGTATAATAGGTGTTTAAAAGGGACATGTAAAAATTGTATTTAAAATGATAATATAATAAAAACATTTTTTTCTACAAGCAACACCACACAGAAGACTACTTGTGGTAATAAGCATTTGGAAATCAGTAGCTTTATCTCTGCAAACATGCCTTTAAATAATGGAACATGATCTCTGCCCTGGCATGGGATCAAGCACTACAAATCTGTGTCTAGATATTACATCTTATTGCATGTCAAGGCCACTCAGACAGCTGGTGATACTGTTAACACCACAACTTGCTTTCTCTCTCCCTTCATCTCATCTAATTTGTTCTCTAGTAAATTGGTTAAAAAAATATATTTCAATGGTCTTTTAAAAATAGAATAACTCAAATATGGACAAAGGTATTTTCTTAAAATAATGTGTTTTAAGGAGGGCCAGCCTCACACTCAAAATGTGTAGTAGGTATGGATTCATTTACTGTGGGATTGTGCGGACACTTCAGCTCACCCCATCCCAGGACAAATGAAGTGACTTCAGTTTTCTCATATGCTGGGTCATTTCTGTCATGTCTCGACCCACATTTTCTCCCTGTGTGCCCTGAAATACGCAAACACCAAACATAACGTGCTGGTTTAGGTAGCATCATGTGTGCCCAACAGTCCGCCATGGAGGGCTGGAGCCATGAACTTCTTTTGCATGAGTAAGAGGAGTAAGGAAACCACAAAACATTAGGTTTCAAAACTATCAATGGCCACATGCATTTAATCAAATATCCTTCCAAGCAATGTCAGATTTTTAAGGAAAAAACCCACCTGTTTGCTGAGCATCTGAGGCTTTTTTTCCCTTCACCTGACAGTACTGGAAGTGTAGGCATGTGATTTTGATGAAGCCTTAGAAAAAGAGGACAGGGCGAGGGAGTTTAAATGAATGATCTGGAGGCAAAAAGAAGTTTCATGGTGTCTATAAACCATAAACACGGGCATAACACAAAGCAGCATGGTGTTTCAGGCAGATACGGCTCTTGCCCTTTTCACTCGGTAAGGACGAACGGCGATGGGCTGCCACTGAGCCCGGGCACACCAGCTCCTGAGCTGCAGCCGGCTCCGGATGCGGACATGGGTGCTGTGTTTCGGCTGGGAAAGCAGGCAGGGCCAGGCCACGGGGCAGTTGTTGCCGTGGGTCCAGGGGAAGGAAGCCAGTGTGGGACCTTGTGGAAGAGAAGGGTGATATTTATTCAAAATGGCACATAGTTTACTCACTTTCAGTGTCCCATGGGTCATCTGCACCCAGACACCCACCCAGGCAGGCTGCGTGTGAGGTAGCAGGCCAGTGCCACCGGCTGTGGAGTCCTGGCACAGCTCTTCAGTTCTTCATGGCGACAGCAAGCTGTTTGCTGGATGTCCTTTTATACCCCCTAGGGATCTGTCAGGATCTTTAAGTCAAAGGCAAAATTCCTGCTTCCCATTGTTCTGTTGTTTTCTTTATCAGGATGTTTTATGGCTCCCCTCCTGTTCCTCCTCGCCTCTTTACCTTAGCTTGAGGCTTCAGTTTGTTCTTTGCCTTCTTGCTATCAGGTCCTTTGAAAGAATTTACTTCTACAGTGCCCTGTATCGATTAACCTAATCCTTTTTTTAACCCTTGTTTTTCTGTTCCTTCTAGCGCTTTCACACGCACATATTCATTCATCTTCCCTAACCTCAAGACTTGTGTTACAAATACTCTGACTTGTGCCAAAAGAGCATTGCTCCACCAACATCCAGGCATGATTTGGAGATAGGTACTGTTCTCCACAACCAGCATGGCCACCCTGTTTCCAGGAGGTAGAAAAGAGCCGTACGGATGTGAACCACGCATTGCTACCTGCTCTCAGGGCCAGAGAATAGCCCAGGCTCTCTTGTTAGTCATTGATGATAAACAGCCATAACTGTATATATGGTGAGAAGTAAGAGAGGGCCAGGAGCAGGCTCACACATTTGGATTGCTGCAAGAGCTGCCGAGCAGCGTGGACAGTCCCTGGCTGCTTTGGATCATCCCAAGTGGATCTCCCAACAGTTCTCCAGATCTCTTCGGAACAAAAAGTTACAAATGTGGCCAGCCCCGAAGCATCACGGATGCGGGACAGTTTGTGCTAGGTGGCTCGGCGGTCAAGTGTTACACCCTGGCCCTTTGTTTTTTTATTCCGCAGTAATGGGCACAGCCAGTATGTATTGCTCCCAATATCTCACTGCGGGTCTGCGACACACGATTCCTCCAAAATCAAAGCTGGGTTAAATTTTGCCTCTTACTTCTTAAAATCCAGGCCACTGTTGCAATGCATCGTACCAGGAAATTACCAAGGAAATAAAGACAGAACACTGTTCAAATTACTTATGAATTTGTATAATTTCTATTTAAATTTGTAAGGCATATGAAAAGAGTATACAGATTTCATTTTTTATATATTTTTTATATATATATGTATGCATTTGAAAATACAAAGTAACAGTTAGTAATATGTGATGAGTGACTGCTCAGCTATCAACCCCAGTATGAGAGTTCACAATTGAGGGTGGGAGGGGAAAGGTCATGTGTCTGTTTTCTCTAAAGGCAAACTAAAACTGCATATTGAACAATGCTTACAAATAATTGTGAAGATAGCACATTTGCATCAGACCTGTGTAGTGTGTAAGATGAAAACACCGCAGACACAATATATCCGACACCGACTATTACCGTTAAATAATGCTTTGTTAGAAAGCAAGTGCACGTTTGACGTGGACAAGGATGAATGACGAGGCTATAATGGTCTTTTTGTGGCTATAGGTGCTACAAAGGCTATTTTTAGCCATTTTCACATCTATTTTGTACATACAGGCAAAATCCATCAGAAGGAAACTTCCAGGTGACCCTATGACTAAAGCATTGCACCCTCTACTCCTGTGTGCTTGCTGAGGGCCTGCTCAGCAGAAAGCAGCTGTGGACGTCGCTTTTTATAGTCCATACATCTCTAATAGTGCGCTCCCTGATGCCAGGCTGGAGGACTGTTTCTTTCTTAGATGCTCTCCTCCTCTTTGCTTTCCAAAACCAAATGAGAGTCATGGAAGGATGACAAAGAGAGATCCTACATCAGTAGGATCACCCATCTACATCACCCATTTCCTCTGTCCACAGTGACAACCAAGTCTCTCCCTCCTCCCCTGTTGAATACTTATTATCAGATAGTCCATAGGCCAGTGACAGCCTGTGTTCCTCTCTTTGGGAGCACCAGGAAGGAAGTTTGATGGGTTATGCAGCCCTGAGAGAGGAGAAGGCGAAGTTTTATGCACCAGGAAGGAAGTTTGATGGGTTATGCAGCCCTGAGAGAGGAGAAGGCAGGAATTTTTATTTATTTATTTATTTATTTATTTTTAATTTCAAAGAAGACTCATGCAATGTGAAAAGGCGTTGTTCTTCGTTGACCTGCCCTGCAGGTCCCTAGCACAGAGGAGAGGGCTTCTAGGAAGTCAGGTGTGGTCCCACCTACAGGCTGGCCTCTCTCCTGGGCTAACCAGGGTGCTGCATGAGCACCAGCTGCCGGCTTGCGGCCCTCCGAGGCTTGCAGAGAAGCCAACAGAAACCCTCCCGGTAACTGTGAAGTTTGGCAACAACTGTGAAACAGAGACCAGAGGCAGCAATAACGACAGGTTAAAGGTGTGTTAGAAACAGGGCTATTTCTTCCCAAAATCCAGCAATTTAGCATAAGTCACTAGTCTGTAACATTGCTATAATTGTGTGACCTACACTGTTGCCCCAACTTCAACAAATGCTTTAATATTGACCGATGCCCTTAGCTTGCAATGCACAACAGACATTCATGTGTGCAGACATCTGTACAGACGCACAAACATACATAATTTAAGAATGAGCAAATAATGCCATACAATCATTATAAAAGAAGGATCGGCCAATAGCAGAACTTAAAATTACGCTGCAGAATGTACGCTGGCTTTTGTTTTTTCTGTCTTGGCTGGTGTCCATCTAAATCTCACAAGTAATAAAGAGCGGAGGCATCTTCTGTTTACTTCATTCTCTTTGCAACATCCAAATATGCATACTCAATTTCTTGATCAGCAGGACAAGTGTTTGTAAATTCATCTCTTGCATATGCATTGTTCAAGTATCTTGAAATCCCTGTCATTTCAGGTGGAAAATCAAAATTTCTATATTTTTTTGCAACAACCTTTTATTAAAAGAAAAAAGAAAAATATCATTACACACACTATCTGCAAAAAAACCCAAATCCACTCTTTATGCACACTTTTAATTTTCAATGTGTAAGTCTCTCATCATATGCAACGTAGAGGGAAAGGAAAAGGAAAGACACAAAAAAACCAGAAGACGTGGGATGAAGAATGCTAGTTAACAAGCTAACTCACTTAAAAGGATTTATTTGGTGTTAATATTCTGCTAGAGCTATGCAGAGCTACGTGGACCAGTAGACCACACCTGGAGGTGATGCAGCTTAAAACAGCAAAGGAGCTAGCATAAACCAGAATTAACAGAATAATCTTAGTAATAAACTGGCCCACATTTGGGTACTTTCACTGAAACAGAAAGGAAAAACTTGAATTAAAATACTAAATTTCAAATGGCTAGGGAAAACAACTATTGCCCAATACCTAATCCCTCCCTGTTGGCCAGCAAGGATGGTGTGACGTTCAGCCTCCACCATCCTTCAGACATTCACCTGACTTGAGGTGATTCTCCCTGTATTGGCTCTGCTGACCCCTGCTACCTCTCGCGCTTCGCTGTGCCTGAGCTTTGCGTGGGCGTGGGAAAGGGCTCATTCCCTTGCTGCTCTCTCTGGAATAGGTTCGACCAGGACATCTCTGGGAAAAGTTTTCACTCGTGGAGGTGTCAGAAAGCAATTCAATCCACTCTTCCTCTGACAAAATAGTAGTCAAAAAGGAAACTTTCTGAAGTGACCTTTTTTGTTTGAAAACCAGATGAATTTGCAGTGTGGCCATTTCTCTTCCAGAGCCTGGTTGGTTCCAGAGTGGCCCAGGGGCAGGCTGTGGCAACACCCAGACAACGTGGTCACCAGGACTGTTAGGTGTGTGTAGATGCTCCACAGCCCTGCAAAAAGAGGCCGGGAGCCTTGGCTGGAAGGCAGTGGGTGGTGGCTGCCCTGCCAGCATTATTGGTACTGGTGATGATATTCAGCAAAGCAAGAGTTTTGTATTAAAGGAAGGAGAGACAGGTGCAAATTTCAGCTTTTGCTGGCTTCTTGAATTAGCATGGACAAAATCATTTCATCTTACTGGTCCATGGCACTTTGTACGTGAAATGCAAATGAAAACACTGCTCAACAGCACTGAAGATAGCACTCATTTGATACTTGTGTGAGGCTTAGTGAGTGCGGCCACAGCCCAGGTACGAAACCAGATATTCTACGAAACCAGAGCCATCAATCTGAGGATCTGCCTAGCTGTGCTGCAATTAAATGGCCTTGTGCATTAGCATTCAGTGTCCGTACACAGCTACTGTGTGGCCTCAGAACAGATAAAGGATTCCTCTGCCTTTTAGAAAAGGACTTGAGCTTCTGTGTCGCCCTTCTCTTCAGGAAGCTAAAAAACAAAGGCAAACCTTGATTATATGGAGCTTTGGTAGGAGGTTGCAATCCGCTAAGGTGAGCTCATCTCCATCCAGGAACTTGCGGCTGGAAACGGTGATCTCCTCAGTGCTGTAAGCATCAATTTCATCGGGCAAGGGGCTATTTAAATAGTTGTCCAGCTTCCTCAGGGCTTTAAGCAAAGATTTTTCCAAATCTAGGTTAAGACAATAAAAAAGTCATTCAAGCCTGTACCACGGTCTCTCTGACACCAAGCAGAAAGGCGACTCCTGCATCCTGTCTCCTGGCACCAACCCAGCTCGCAGACACCCGGCCATGCCAACTCCTGCAATTCCTTTATCCTGAGCTTAAAACTTAATGCTGGGATAAGAGCTCTAAGTAGCTAAAGGGGGTTCTGAGAAAAACCAGACGGGGGCTGTGTTACCAGAAATGGCTCCTCAAGCACCTCAACAGGGTGTGCTTTTGCAGAGTGGCCCAGCAGAGTGGCTCGGCCTTCACATCGACTCTCGCCTTGGGAGGCACAGGGCAAGTGCCTGCCCACAGGCAGGACAGCAAGGCTGGGAGCGACGACAGCAAGCCACCGGGACGCCGCTTTGGGGTGTACGGGAAACTGGACCGTGAGTTCTGTGCTTTCGTCTGAGCGCACAGGAGTGGGGTCGGGGCAGCAGGGGCTGGCAAAGGTCAGCTGGGATTTCTGTGGGCTGGTGGTGCCCGTGTGCCACTGTGGAGAGGGGAGAAGGGAAGAGCAAAGGGAACAAGGCTGAGAGCTGGAGGACAGAGATGAGTTAATGCATGGTGGTAGTGAGCGTCCCGCTCTAGAGAGATATGCCATGGGGCTAGAGTCCTCATTATTTACAGAAATGGAGCAGAAAGGTAAGGTCTCAGTTCAAGCGGGCTGTGCTTTTAGCAGAGCTGTGGGGAAGGTGCAGTGTTACGGGCTTGAGAGCTGAAGAAACGAGGAGGAGCTGGAGTTGGTGCTCCCATGCTGACAGCGGTATCTGCGTAAACTAACTTTGGGAATCCTCAAATAAGAGAGTGAATAGGCACAGATTTCCACAGCCTTTATGCTCTGAAAAATGACTGCTTAACCTAAGCTGTGAATGGGGTATCTCCAGCACAGTGTGCTAGAACTGTACAGCTTAATTTTTTCCAGTAACTACCAGGGCTGACGAAAGGACCGCAGCACATACTTTCATTAGCATCTTTTCTTGGGTTCTTTATGAACGCCGAGAATTTTGCAAACACATCATTTCCTGCAGAGTTAGACTCGGGGTGGTTTGGTGCAAGTTTGGGATACCTGAGGAGTCAAAAGAAACAAAAAGAAGTTATACGACTAGCCATTCATCTCCACTAATTATTTAATATACATTATTTACATTGCAGCATCACAATATACGGCCACACAGGACTCTCAAAGGGAACCATCCTGAACTAAAAATCACTTAGCAAGTGCAAATTTAAACCACAGTTAAACCATGTGGATGACCTCCTTTTCCTGAGGGAGATGGGAAATGACTGTTCATGCTGCAAATACTGCCCAAACAGCCCAGTGCCTCTCCCAGGCCTCCTCCACTGGAGGTGAGGCTGCGTGGAGCGTGGCTTCTGCCATGAGGAGGAGCGGAGGGGAAGTCCCTATTCACAATAGCTGCTGCTCCTCCTAGCCTCCTTGCCTGGAGGAGCTCAGAGCAGCCGGTCCAAGCAGCTGTGGTTGCCAGGGGCAGATAGGAAGGGAAAAGCGGAGGGGAGCAGCTGCTTGCCTAGTTTAAGTCAGGTTCAGCTGCTTGAGAAGGGAGCGCTGCGGAGGGGGCTGCTGTCCCAGGGGAGAGAAGGTGCGTGGGTGGGGGACACAATACTACTGATGATGGGACAGCGGGGTTTGGGGAGAGGTGGGAAGAGCTGCGGGGGTGGGGAAGGACAAGTCCGAAACCCAGACCCTGCTGTGTGCTCAGATGGGCCCACCCGGCCACTCAAAATGAGCCCCAGCACGTCTGCTGTGTGGGAGGCTTTCACTGCCCTTTTCCTCCAGCTACCTGCTCCCAGTAAGCATAATTATTTGTACAGTGTGAAGAGGGAAACCTCCAACAAACACAAGTGGAGGAAAAGAGGTCAGGTTTCTGCAGTGGCATGCAGGTTTCTGCACATGCTTGCTGCAGCGGGGTGGATTTCATGCTTTGGGAATGACTGTGGTGGCACAGCAGTGAACTCAGGGCAAAGGCGAGGGCGGCGGGAGGAGCGCAGCCGGCGTCTCGGGGCCACCCCAGGGCCATCCCCTGCATGGTGCCAGGCTTCAGCACTGTTTCGCACCAGTCAAAATTACCCCTCCCTGCAAGCTCCACCACGGCGGCCGGACCAGCCCCCCCGAGCCTCCCATGCGCAATTATAACACCTGCAGCTCATCGAGGGCCTGACCCACCGAAACCAAGGGGGTTTGGGCACTGACCCCTGTCGAGGGCCATGAGGGGCTAAAAGCAATAGAAGCGGCCAGGAATACAGTACCGGGGCGGCGCTAGCTTTTCTTCCAAGAACTCCTCAATCTTATTGACATCGGTTTTCACTTCGCCGTCAAATGTCATGAAGGGGGGGTTTGTTCCCGGGGCGAGGTTCTGCAGATCAGCAGGCTTTCTAATGGGAGGAAAGAGATGGGGTAAATCACAACAGGAACCACATTTGCAATTTCGACGCTTAATTGCAATGAACTGTTTCACCTTTAAAATAGCAGGCTGCTCTACATCTTTCTTACAAAATAAGACTTAGTCAGTGCCTCACACGGGTGGTGTGAGAATTCGCTAGCCCGTTATCTGAATGCGCTCTGAAATGCTTAAAATAAACCCCAAAACTCCTGTGTTATGTTACAGAGACCTACTGCAAAACAGATTAAAATCTCAACTGCTTCAAAGGAGTTAGTCCACTTTATACTAGTGAACCCTAAAGAGGAATCAGGCCTCCAGACTGTTAACGTAATGTCAAGCCATGGTGCGCATTTCAAATCTATCAGAAGAGAATCACCCTTTAAAATCACCATTTTGGAAAAGTTGTTCTGAAAAGGAGAACTCTGGTTACAATCTCACCTTTTCAAATCCACAGTTGTGACATTAAATATGACACCTTTTAGCCACAGAATCATAAAGAGACGCTGAGAGAACGGGCAATTTCCAATACTTTCCCCATCACTGCCAGCCTACAATTAAAAAAAAAAAAAAGGTATACATACATCTGATGACAGCAAATTTTGATAGCAGATGCAGTAGGAAAGCAGAAAACCCAGATCTGCTACGAGTACGTGTAGCATGTTACTCATCTCTACTAACACCTATTTTCATGCAAAGTTGCTTTATATCCTTCTCCAAACATGCCCATAGATATAATGAAGAATCCTGTCATCTTGGAGACGTAGTTTTTCATGAAAATGCATAATGAATATTGCCATAAGTTAGAAAGCAAAATTGAAATCACAGCAGTCCTTCCAAAGGAAATAGTCTCCACCTCATTTGTCTATGTGAACATAAATCTACTTAAGTCACTACAAGATTAAAACAAGTTAAATCAGTTTATGATCACGGGAAACAAATAGAGAAAGATTTACCAGCATAAATTGAGATGTAACATCTAAAGCGCTTAAGGGAATAAACAGAATAAATCAAATAATTAAGAATTTCAAACTAAACAACTGTGGGGGCCCCAGAGAAGAAGGGAAGTTTGGCAGTAGCCTTGCTCCAGCTGAACCCACCCATCTCTGCGCTTTGCTGAACTGAGGACTAAGGAAGCACAAGTGCCACATCCCCCTGTCTAATCCCTCCTCGTTATAGACCCAAGGCTCCCACTTTTAAGACTGACGTGTGGCTGTATCCAAGTCACGTAACCTCTCTTTCTGTGTGCCCCTATAATGATGGTCTTTCCCTTTTGGCTAAGCAAATCACCAGGTGTCAGTGTAAAGCACAAGAGGCGCAACTCACCGTACGTGTGGCCACAGAAGCGTTGCTCTCTCTCATTTTGTTAAGAGGCTTTGTTAAAATGAGGCCAAGTCTTGCATAGTTGCTATTGGTTAAGTTAGGCTTCACGCTACGTTGTTGGAAGAGATCAGCGGTCTAATTTTTAAGCCCTTCATATGATTCTCCTAAAGTGCAGTTTTAAAACTTAGATTAAATGTAAGGGCGCAGAAGTAAAAAAACAGGTGTATCATTTACTTAGTTAATAGGTTAGTTCATTAAGGTTTGCAGACCTTATAACCAAACAACACACATTAATGAAACCAGTTCTGCTTGCTCTTTCACCTTCCTCGACATGATCAAATGAATCTCAAATATAGTAAAAAGTTCACCATAAACAAACAGTGCCGTCGGATTGCTTTACAGTGCTCACCTTCACAAAGAGCTCTATGTCTGGAAATGACCACCTACTCTGGAGCAGGCAGGTTTCTGCCATGGAGCTCGAGGGACGCATGAGGAGGGATTCTCCTGCGGCTTGATAAACCGTCTTATTCTCTCTATCAACCCGAAGGATTCTCCTCTGATAACCCTCTGCTGCTTTCTGCCTCTGGTACTGCAACAACCACTGGCTTTCTCGGTAGGGGAAACTAGAATAGCCTATTGCCTTAAACACTGGCAGGGGATGAAAACTTTTAGAAATGCTAGAACAGCTGGACTGCTGTGTTTGAAAAGTCTCGTTTCGTAGGTGGCAAAAATGAAAGCTGGTCAAAAGCTACTATTGTATTTTTCCTCCTACTCAGAGCACTGCTTTCCAGTGCTGTACAGTTTACAGCAACAAGAAGATAGAAAACTACTGTGTATTTTGTAAAAATAAGACTACAAATGCTGCTACCGTGTGCTTAAAACAGAGCTAAATACATGACACCACCATTTTGTCTCATCCTGCCTCTTGTGTCAAGTTTTACCCACCCCCCAAGGAAAAAGGGGGGTGAAGGGCATTACTGTGACCCCTCGGTGCTAGCAATGGGTACCCCCACCCTCTGCCAGGCTGCACTGAGGGGAGAAGCAGCAGCCAGGGGACATCATTTCAGATGTGCCATGTCTGGAGGAGGCAGGCAGGTACGTCTGGCGATGAGTTGGCTCCCGCCAGCTCCTTTCCAGCTGCCCCTCGCTCTCTGGCAGTGGAGGTGCTGCTGCAACCGCTTCCCCGCCCGCTGCCCTCACACAAGCTGTGCTGCCAACAGCCAGCTGTTCACCCGAGATGGGCTCCCAGGGAAACCCCTCGAGCGGGACACTGAAGGGACAGCAGCCCAACCTGGTACCAACCCGTGCTTTGGTGTCTTACACAGTTTATTATAGAGGAATGTCAACCATTAAGCTAAGTCGGTGAAGAAATAATCTTACAGTAACAGATTGCTATGGTCTGGGGAAAGAAAGAACAAGTGTCCAGAAAAACAGTTCCTACCACTGGTTTGATGTTTTCATTCAGCCTTGGATAGGAAAAAATAAGTTACCTATCTCAGCAGGGTTCATGTACCATTTGGAGAACATTCCAGATAGCTCTGTGCTCAAGAAGAGCTGTGTGATCAAGAGTGACAGCAGGGTGAACTTTTCCTGATCAATTACTATCTTCTGCTGGCCATTAAATACGAAAATTTTGGCTCCCTCTAACTTTTACTGCTGGAGCTAAGGAAACGCAATTGTTGCTTCGTTTTGCCCCCCATCACCTTGGTGACAGTACATTTCAGGGAGCCGGACGCAGCAGCCCCAGCCTGCTCTTCTGGGGAAACATCCAGAGGTAGAGTCAGAGATCCAGGTCAGGACAGACGTGTTACCGTGACAAACACAGGCATGAAGCAGGCACTGAGTCCCAGTTTGTCCCTAACTGGAATGACATATAGGCAACCAGGAAGGTGAGGGACTGGCAGCCCTGGAGATGTTACAGAAGCAACCTCCTGTCTTGTTTCTAAGTGTAAACTTTTTCATGTCCATACCTACTCGGGAGTAAGATTTTCTACAGCACTACTGTCTTTCTATTTTGCAATGGATAAAATAGCAAACAGCGAATCTCTCAGCCTTTTACCTTCATGCCTCTCAGCCTGCTAGCAACCTTTCACAAAAAATCACTTGAACACCGAGGAATTGAATAGAATGGGGGATTAAGCATCGCTGATTACAGCAATGCTCTGCCAACTGTAATGACTGAGATGATCAATTGTTTATTTGGTACTTTTTGACTACTTCTGTGGGCTAAGTTCTGATGGTGTTAGACACACTAATGTCCAAAAGACATTTGACCTTCATGTACTGTGCTGTCTCCCCTCCCATGCTGTTTACAAGGGACATTAATAGTGTACTGCTATCTTAGCTGTGTTCTGTGCAATGCAGGTACCACGGTCTCTAGTGAAGTGCTGCAGTGTTTGCCCAGCTTTGCTGTCTCCAGTGGTTATGGTACACACTTGGCTTTTACAGCAGCAAATAAATTCACAGAGGCTAGGATGTTTCCCCATTTCTGATGTGGCCATGATCCTTCTCACAGGCTAAGGAGGAAATCTTCTGAGCAGTTTCCTTGTGAAATCATTGGTGCACTTCATTAATATAAATCTATTCTAAAAGCCCATGCTATCCAGGCTGTGTAGTACATCCCAACATCTAAGATGGGGCCGTGTCCTCTATGGGTGCTGTGCCTGGACTGAGAACAACAGGCAGATCTTTGGGAGTTACTCAGTCAAAAGCCTCGGCGGCTGAGGTCCTGTGGTAAAGGAGGCAGCAGCCGTTCAGGTAGGGACAACTGGGAAGCTGGTGAACCACAGAGAGCTTTAGGAAACCGAAAGCCATTTAGTCCCCAGGGGCTTGAGTTCTGGGTGAGAGGTGAAGGGAGGACAAATCTCTAGACTTGCCGCGCCAGGGCTGGTGGTGGATACCTCCAGGTTTCCTTCAGTTCTGCAGAGCTGGAGGCAAATTACAGTAGCCCACACAATAGCACAAGCAGTGATTAAACCTTTCCCTACTGTAACAGTGACCAGCAGCCTAAAGTGACTGCAAGACCTTGAACACCAAGTCTGATTCAGACCTTGACACGGTTTGACCTGGCAGCTCAAAGACACTACAGTTTCCTACAACCTTTGCTGAAAGCCCAAAACGTGGGTATTTTAGCCTCCTGCAGAAAACAGGGTGAATACAGCTAGCTAAAATGCCTTCAGATACATCAACTTGCATTTTGGCTTACAGGAGACAACTCTGTTCTCCTAACTCAGCTCATCTAATCCGGGGAGCTACAATTCCTACTGGACATAAAAGCATCAGTGACACATGCCAAAGGTGTTTGTTTAAGTTGCCAAACAGAGGGTCTGCCATGATGACACCACCCACTCAAAAATGATGAGCTGGGACACTGAAATAGCTTTATAGCTGTGTATCAAGCAACACGACAATAGCTGAAGTATGCCATCATCCTACAATAATGTACTTTCCAACAAAGCAAGGGCGGCCTTTTTACAGAAGTGAGACTGTGTGTCGACATCTTACCTTGCAGGGATACGACACAGCAGTAAGAGAGCCAGAAAAGACCCGCCTGTCACATATTAATACCCCCAGGAAGAGAGCGCAGCTAGGGGCATTGCAGCCTGGGAACAAAACTCCCTGCATTTTTCTCCACAACACCGTTCAGGGATGTGTAACTTTGAGCTGTGCTTGGTACACGCGCAGAATTTAATTACACTTCCTCACTGTTGTGCTTAGTGATGATGCAGGGTGAAATCTTAACTCTGGTGAAGTCAGACGGAGTCTCTTGCTGTTGATTCAATGGAGGATTGTGTTTCCAGACTGGTTATAATCTTAATAACCAGGCAAATGCTGCTGTAATTGTAGGTAATGCTGCAAGTTGGCCTCCACCTGCAATTGTTGTGACATTCTCTCAACATCCACATCTTGTGGGTGAAGCGGGTCAAATCCCCAAAACACAAAGCTTGTTTTTATGCTCTTCTGCTGCTTAAATAGATGGCTAACCAGTGTCTTGAATAAGTGGCATTTACGTTTTAATTGTGATTGGTCAGGAGGTCAATATGCTTTTTCTAGTAATACTGGGATTTAATGAGTTCATTAGTCAAACAATTAAGACAGCCATTGCTGCAGAGGAGAAAAATGTCAGGCCGTGCACAGAAGCTTCCGTTCAGAGCCTTCAGAGCCCTAGGCAGCAATCGTATATTGTGACAGTATCGACTTAAGACAGTTCTCCGTAATCATGTGCCAT